AGAAAAACAGGTAGAGCTCCGCAACTGCGGATAAGAGTGAGGGGGCGGGCGGGTAGGTTGCGGGGCGGGTCGCGGGTGGGGCGCGGGTGGGTCGTGGGTGGGTTGCGCGTTGGTCGCGGGTGAGTCGCGAGGGGAATGACGACAACAACAATCATTTGAAGATTCTTCGCTCTTACCTGCTCGCCTGTCGTTCAACCTGTGTATCCCAAACCCTCGATACCCGCCCTCTGCGTCTGCGATTTTATCCCCCTTGGGGGCATATTTTCCTTATTTGCCACGTGTAGCTGGCGCAGCCCGTAAAACAGGGGAAGGGAGGGAGGAAGGAAGAGACAAGGGGGGATAGAGAAAGATGGGGCAAAAGAGGGACTAGCAGAAAGGGGATTCGGAGGAGGATTTCAAGCGGCAGAACCAAACGGGCAGGTTGGACGGGCGGACACTGACAGGCGGGTCGAGCGAGCCGGCGCAGACGGTTGGGTCGAGCGGGCGGGTGGGTCGCTGAAGTGTCAGTCCTGCATGAATCGCGAGGACGTCTCGAGCGACAGCGCTATTCCCAAGGAAATCGCGAAAAAATCCAGAGCGAGAGCGCGATTCCCAAGTGTCGTGGGCGCGGCGAGGAAGTCCCACGCGAGAGCGCGACTCCTGGTTAAATTGCGGAAATCCTTCGCGAGAGTTCGATGCTTTAATGAATTGTCAGGCAGCGTCAGGCGGGAACCGTTGTTTTGTGTTGCCCCAAGACTCACGAATGACGCTCTCGCTTATGAGTTGCTAACAATTTACATGGGACTCGCGCTATCATTCGAAACTTCCTTCATGAAGTGGGTTGACGATTTAGCGACCCGCCCGACCTTCCCACTAGGGTCCGCCCGCCCGTATCGCTCGTCTGGTTCTGCCGCTTGCGCTGCTGCTCCTAACCCTCCTGCAAATCTCTCTCGTACTTAATGTTTCTCCTTTTCCCCTGTCTCTTCGCTCATCCCCTCCCCCTGTTTGAGGGGCTGCGCCAACTGCACGCGGCAGGTAGGGAAGATAGACCCCCAAGGGGGGGTACGATCGAAGACGCAGAGGGCGTTTGTCGAGGGTTTGTGATGTACGTGTTGAATGGCGCATGAGTTGTCTTAAACTGATTGGTGTTGAGTTTTCATATCTGAGGAGTAAGTATTGGTGATCATCCCCGGGTGTTCGCACCTTGTTATTTTATCCAGGGAAGTTTGTGGCCGCCAAATTGCTCCCCTGGCCCCCAGTTTGTATTCAATCATCGCGCTCTCGCGCGAGGCGTCCTCATGAGTTATCCAGGGATCGCACTGTCGCGTGGCACGTCTTAACAAGTTATTGCGGTGCCGTTCCCCCAACATTCACACATCATGATCCCGTGTTGGGCTTCCTAGCGTTATATCGGTCTACCATATATGCTCGCCCCCCCCCCCCCCACATGATCATACACATTCTCCCATCATCCCTCCAGTCATCATAACCCGTTCCTTCCTCCTGTTTTTCTTCATGATGGTTTGCTACGCTGCAAACCGCAATTCCGTCGATTGCAATCCAAACACTTCAGCGCGAAACGACTTCAGTCTTTCGCGGCGCATTGCAATCCAATCTCACCATCTCATGTTTATGATGCCCCTCCTCCTCCTCCTCAGCATCCTACTCCTTCTCAACCTCAAGCTCCCCCTCCCTCTCTTCCTCTTTCTCATATTTCTTCTTTGAAGCTTTCTCCACCTTCTCCTCATAATTGTCCTCTCCTCCTCGTCCTCCTCTTCCTCCTCCTCGATACCAAACGCCTTGTCCTCCTCGTCCTCCTCCTCATTTTCCTCCTCTACCGTCTCCCAATCCTCCTCCACATCCTCTTCCTCCTTATGTTTGTCTTCTTCCCCCTCCGCTTCAAAATCAAATGCATTGGCCTCAACTCTTCTCTTCCTCCTCCTCTTCCTTCTCCTTCCCCTCGTCCTCCTCATTCTATGAATCCTCATCCACTTCTTCCTCATGTTTGTCCTCATCATTCTCCTCCTCCTACCCCCTCTCACTTTCAAAGTCCTTGTCCTCCTCTTCCTCCTCCTCCTCCTCCTCCTCCTTGTCCTCTTCATCTTCCTTCTCTGAATCCTCCTCCATCTCCTCTTCGGCATGTTGTCCTCCTCCTATTCCGATTCCGCAAATTTAAACTCATTGTCCTCCTCCTGCTTCTCTTCCCCTCCTCCTTCTTTAAATTATCCTCAAGCTCTCCTTCATGTTTGTCCTCCTCATCAGAATCCTCCTACTATTCTTCCTTCTCCTCTTTCTCTGAATCCTCATTCACCTCTTCCTCCTCCTCCTTCTCCTCCTCCTCCCAATGTTTGTCCTCCTGCTCATCGTCTCCTCCTCCTCCCCCTCCACCACCTCCTCCTCCACCTTCTCCCCCAAACCATATTTGCCCTACTCCTCAAAATTGAGCCCCTTGTTCTCCTCCTCCTCCTCCGCGTCATCTGGTGAATGCCGAGCTCCAGTGGCACCAGCCATAGTTGAGCAACATCCTCCCCCATTTTCCACCGCCTCTTCCTAGCTATGGAGCGGCGTTCACAACAAGTTTTGTGAATAATGATTCGTAGCGGAAGGTTGCTCGCAGGGTTTGTTGTGGAGTTGCATTCGCAATTAGATTGGAGGGTAACGCCTCGAAGTGTAGAGGGGGGGGGCTGAGTGATCAGGAGCCGTAGCAGCAGGAGGAGTAGGAGGAGGAAGAAGAGGAGGGTGAGGACTATGACGAAGGTGAGGAGCAACACCTTACTCACAAAACTAGGTGTGGAGCGGCGTCCACAGCTAGTTTTGCGAGTAATGTTTCGTAGCAGGAGGCTGCTCACAAAACTGGTTGTGGAGCTGCGTTCACAACTAGATTTGCGAGTGACGCCACGAAGCGGAGAGGTGGGGGTAGAGTGAAGAAACGAAGGAGGAGGAAGGGGGGAAGAGCAGGAGGAGTATGAGGAGGAAGAAGAGGAGGGTGAGGAGCATGACGAAGGTGAGGAGCAACACCCTACTCACAAAACTAGGTGTGGAGCGGCGTTCACATTTAGGTTTGCGAGTAATGTCTCTTATCAAGAGGCTGCTCGCAAAACTGGTTGCGGAGCTGCGTTCGTAACTAGAGTTGTGAGTGACGCCATGAAGCGGAGAGGTGGGGTTGAGTGAAGAAAAGAGGGAGGAGGAAGGACGGGGAGGAGCAGGGGGAGTAGGAGGAGGAAGAAGAGGAGGGCGAGGAGCATGACGAGGGTGAGGAGGAAGACCTTACTCACAAAACTAGGTGTGGAGCGGCGTTCGCAGCTAGTTTTGCGAGTAATGTTTCGTGGCAGGAGGCTGCTCGCAGAACTGATTGGGGAGCTGCGTTCACAACTAGATTTGCGAGTGACGCCGCGAAGCGGAGAGGCGGGGGTAAAGTGAAGAAAAGAAGGAGGAGGGGGGAGGCGCAGCAGGAGTAGGAGGAGGAAGAAGAGGAGGGCGAGGAGCATGACGAAGGTGAGGAGCAACACCTTACTCACAAAACTAGGTGTGGAGCGGCGTTCACAGCTAGTTTTGCGAGTAATGTTTCGTAGCAGGAGGCTGCTCGCAGAACTGATTGGGGAGCTGCGTTCACAACTAGATTTGCGAGTGACGCCACGAAGCGGGGAGGCGGGGGTAAAGTGAAGAAAAGAGGGAGGAGGGGGAGGAGCAGGCGGAGTAGGAGGAGGAAGAAGAGGAGGGTGAGGAGCATGACGAAGGTGAGGAGCAGCACCTTACTCACAAAACTAGGTGTGGAGCGGCGTTCACAGCTAGTTTTGCGAGTAATGTTTCGTAGCAGGAGGCTGCTCACAAAACTGGTTGTGGAGCTGCGTTCGTAACTAGATTTGCGAGTGACGCCACGAAGCGGAGAGGTGGGGGTAGAGTGAAGAAACGAAGGAGGAGGAAGGGGGGGGGATCAGGAGGAGTAGGAGGAGGAAGAAGAGGAGGGCGAGGAGCATGACGAAGGTGAGGAGCAACACCTTACTCACAAAACTAGGTGTGGAGCGGCGTTCGCAGCTAGATTTGCGAGTAATGTCTCTTATCAGGAGGCTGCTCGCAAAACTGGTTGCGGAGCTGCGTTCGCAACTAGATTTGGGAGTGACGCCATGAAGCGGAGAGGTGGGGTTGAGTGAAGAAAAGATGGAGGAGGAAGGATGGGGAGGAGCAGGAGGAGTAGGAGGAGGAAGAAGAGGAGGGTGAGGAGCATGACGAGGGTGGGGAGGAAGACATCACTCACAAAACTAGGTGTGGAGCGGCGTTCACAGCTAGTTTTGCGAGTAATGTTTCGTAGCAGGAGGCTGCTCGCAGAACTGATTGGGGAGCTGCGTTCGCAACTGGCGGGGGGCAGCCGACGGCCAACGCTGCCCTGTTGAAGCTACACGATTTGATTATCATCCTCCTGCTCTTGAAAAAATACCGTTTACCAGATTTTCCAGATTTCCAAGATCTTCCCAGAGATGGCCCTGGAGAAAAACGCTGTGTTTTCCTGCTATTCCTGACCTTCCCAGGGATTACCCCTGAGAAAACGCTGCGTTTTCCTGATATTCCTGATATTCCTGACATTTCCAGAGACTACCCAGGCGCCGAGGCCTCCTGGGGCTGCCGAAACATTGCCCTGGTGGAAAACGCTGCGTTTTCCTGATATTCCTGACCTTCCCAGGGATTACCTTTGAGAAAACGATGTGTTTTCGTGATATTCCTGATATTCCTGACATTTCTAGAGACCACCCTGCAGGCTCACGGCAGTCTCTGGAAATGTCAGGAATATCAGGAATATCAGGAAAACACAGCGTTTTCTCAGGGGTAGTCCCTGGGAAGGTCAGGAATATCAGGAAACCGCAGCGTTTTTCACCAGGGCAATGTTTCGGCAGCCCCAGGAGGCCTCGGCGCCTGGGTAGCCTGTGGAAATGTCAGGGATATCAGGAATATCAGGAACACGCAGCGTTTTCTCAGGGGTAATCCCTGGGAAGGTCAGGAATAGCAGGAAAACACAGCGTTTTTCACCAGGGCAATGTTTCGGCAGCCCCAGGAGGCCTCGGCGCCTGGGTAGTCTCTGGAAGTGTCAGGAATATCAGGAACATCAGGAAAACACAGCGTTTTCTCAGGGGTAATCCCTGGGAAGGTCAGGAATATCAGGAGAACACAGCGTTTTTCACCAGGGCAGTGTTTCGGCAGCCCCAGGAGGCTTCGGGAAACCCCAGGAAGCGTTTCGGAAGACTCGGGAAGGCCAGGAGGCCTCAGGAAGCCCCAGGAAGCCCCAGGCCCTCCCCCCCCAGGGCGCGCGAGGAAGAGGAGTAGCAAACAAAGAAATATGTATGATCATGTGGGGGGGGGGGGGTACCATATATAGATATATATATATACACATTTTTACATATATATATATATATATATATATACAGCTAGATCTAGATATTTATCGATAGATTGGGATGTCGTTATCGCTCAAAACTTCCTTCATGATAGGTTGTTGCTTTAGCGACCCGCCCGCTCGACCTGGCCGTCTGGGCCCGCCCGCCCGACTTGCCCGTGAGGATCCACCCACCCAACACGCCAGGCTGGTTATGCTGCTTGTGCTGCTGCTCCTAACCCTCCTCCTGCACATATCTTTCATACTGCATCCTTCTCCATCCCCCTTGTCTCTTCACTCCTCCCCTCCATCTGTTTTAGGGGTTGCGCCAACTACACACGGCAGGTAGGGAAAACATACCCTCAAGAGGGGGTACGATCGAAGACGAAGAGGGCGGGTACAAAGAGTTGGGATATGCGTGCTGGATGACACGCGAGCAGATAACAGCGACTTGTCTCAAACTGATTGTTGTTGGTGTTTTCATTGATTCATTCTTCAAGAATGGTTATTGTTGATCCCCCCACTGGTGCTTCGGTTTTGTCACTTGAAATGCTCCCCTCGGGGCTCGCACCGTGATTTTGTTTTGGGTGGAATCTTCGTTCTTAGACTGCGTGCCTCAGTCTCGTGGGATGGGCGGCCAGCCCCAGGGTCCCAGGGCCGAGGCTTCTGGGGTCCCAGTGCCTCTGGGGATCGGGGCGCGCTCTTCTTTGGAGCGCGTCTGCTTTAGATCCTCTCGGACTCAGACTCCTGGGAGGTCAGCTTCTGTCTTTGTCCTGGCCCGAAATAGCGCGCGTTTTTTTCTAGATTCTTCCGGCTGCCTTTCTTGGGAGGTCAGTTCTGACTGTGCCCTGGTCCGAAATCGAGCGCGTTGTCTTTCGATTCTTTCGGATGCCACTGCTGGGAGGTCGAATTCTGACCTTGCCCTGGCCCACCGAGCGGTTTCCCTGGGGCCCTCACAGATCGATGCGGCAGGAGAGATGCAGCAGAGAGACGGGGTAAAAAGCTCTGGTCATGAGCTGGGGCGGTGCCGCATTATGTTGCGACATCAGACTTCGTGGTGCGAGAACCGCTGCATGGAGCTTGGGTTCAGCCCCGCCACTCCACTGGGTGCTGTCCTCGGAGGCCCCGAAGAAGTCGGCTGCGTGGGCCGATTCGCTCACACCACTGCCTTCAACGTTTTGCCCGCGCCGACCTCAAGGACGTGCAGCCTGGGTCGGGGGCGTCACAGGGGGGGGGGGGGCTCGATGTCTGGCCGGGGGGCCCAGACCCCCCCCCTAAGTGGATCGTTCTTGGGCCCCAGAGGAGGGGTGGCGGTGCACGAGCCACCACTGCGAGCCAGCGGTTGTATACACCGCCACCTTCCCGGAGGGCACAGGGGAAACTCGTCGGAGCGTGTTGACAGATTCGGGGTGGACAGAACCCCCACCACGACACGCCGATTCGTGAATTGCCCGTTTTCGGTTCTCGAGAGGGCGCCGCGATCGTCATCTTCCAGGCTTGCGCCCGCCAGGTGTGGGCCCGAGGCCGTTTCCACGAAACCACGATTTGCGAAAGGGGGTTCTGTCTGTCCCCGAGTCGGAGGGTGCCGGTAGATGTCCGCTGCGCACAGCAAGGGGGGAGGCCGCACGCACAGAGAGAGACCCAGATTGGAGGGCTGGCCGCTCTCCGGCAGAGGCCCGTGCAGGGCCTGCCCTGCGCGTGGTTCTACGGGGAGTGCAGCGACGGCGAGGACATCCGTCGCCGCCCTCGCCGCAGCAGCCGCCGCCGCCGCCGCGCGGATGGAGCAGACTGCGCACAAACTCGGCGGCGAGCGAGGGGGGAGGTGGGGAGGAGGAGGCCTGCTCAGAGGGTGGCGGGACTTCCGAGAAGCGGTCGCGCCTTCTGAGAAGTTGCGTCTGCGTCTTCGGGGAAGGCTTAGAAAACTTCTCAGAAGGCCGTGGGACTTCTTGGCCTTGTGAGAAGGCCTGCCCCTTCTCACGTCCCCCCCAGGCTCGCCGCCGCCGATCCCTCTGGGCCTCCCAGATGGGCTCCGAGTAGATGGGGTCGGGGGATCGCGCCGCATCGGCGATGCATTGGCGATACGGCTGGATGTGGAGCCCGGTCTTCTCCGCGCCAACGTCGCCGGTGCATCGCCGATGCATCGCCGATGCTGCGCGATCCTCCGACCCCATCGATTCCGGTCACATTTAGGAGGCCTCTACCGCCGCCGATCGAATGAACCAATCGCCTGGCAAAGGACCCAACCATGTGAAGTTGTGAGTACCGCAATTGTGAATATCGTCTTCGGTGGCGCTCCCTTTGGGTCCACGAACCGTGTGAGGCGTGCGCCAAAATGTGTGGCGGGGTACGCAACACGAACGAAGGCGACAGGTATGAGTACGAGAGACTGAGCACGGGTGAGCCTGAGCACTTCAGCACTTCAGCACTTCAGCACTTCAGCTGCTCCAGCAGGAGATAACCAGGTGCTGGGCCCCCCAGGGGCCACGACACGTGTTGCGCCCACGAAGCGTGTGACAGTTGTGCCGAAATTAGTGCGGTGGCGCCATGCAAACCCCGCATCTGCGGACTTCGGCGGAGCTGCCTATGGAGCCACGAAGCGTGTGAGGGTTCTGGTGACGACATGGGTGCGGTGGCGCCATGCGAACCCTGCCACTGGAGTCTTCGGCGGCGCTTCTTGTGGGGCCTCGAAACGTGTGAGTGGTGTGCCGAAATTGGTGCGGCGGTGCCACGCGAGCCCTGCCATTGGTGCCTTCTGCGGAGCACCCCATGTGGCCACGAAGCGTGCGATGGGTGTGCCGAAATGGGTGGTGGGGACGCACGGATGAGGATGATGGGAGGATGGGAGGATGGGATGATGATGATGATGATGATGATGATGATGATGATGATGATGCTGATGCTGATGCTGATGCTGATGCTGATGCTGATGCTGATGCTGATGCTGATGCTGATGCTGATGATTATAATTATGATTATGAGTATGATGATGATGCTGATGCTGATGGTGATGCTGATGGTGATGGCCATGATGATGGTGATGATGATGGTGATGATGAGGATGATGATGAGGGTAATTAATGATGAAGATGATAAGGATGATGATTTTCATGATGATGATGATGATGGTGATGCTGATGCTGATGGTGATGGTGATGTTGCTGATGATACTGGTACTGATGCTGATGCTGAACATGATGATGCTGATCATGGTGATGATGATGATGATGATGATGATGATGATGATGATGCTGATGATGATGATGATGATGATGATGATGATGATGATGATGATGATGATGATGATGATGATGATGATGATGATGATGATGATGATGATGATGATGATGATGATGATGATGATGATGATGATGATGATGATGATGCTGATGATGATGATGATGATGATGATGATGATGATGATGATGATGATGATGATGATGATGATGATGATGATGATGATGATGATGATGATGATGATGATGATGATGATGATGATGATGCTGATGATGATGATGATGATGATGATGATGATGATGATGATGATGATGATGATGATGATGATGATGATGATGATGATGATGATGATGATGATGATGATGATGATGATGATGATGCTGGAGGAGGGCGGAGAGTGAAGAGGATAGGAGAGGAAGGAACTCGGGGCGCTATCTCTTCAAAACGAGTACCTAACGCCACAGGATGCTTGTGATAAGCAGCATAATCGACCGCCGCCGCTCGAGTGGACAAAAAACAGCATAAACATGATTAGAAGATTTACGCTTCGCGTAACCCCGCCAGCCCGCCCAGAAACGAGGCCCAGACCAGGTCCAGGGGAGGGGGGAGGGGGAGGAGTAGACCCCTCCCCGAAGGGGAAGACTGGGTGGGTGGAAGAGGAAACGCCCTAAACCACTTACGCCCTAAAGGGCTGGTCGGATCTCTCGGAGGTCGTGCGGATTTCTTGCATCTGGCGGCGCCTTCGGCGCCGCCTTTTCGCGCGCTCCGCGCGCTGGGCTCTGGGTGCCCAGCGCCGATCCAGGAAAGCCCCGAGGACTTCCAACAGTTTAGGTCTGTGCAGTTCTTTGTTCCTCGAACTTTTCCTGGTTTCTCTTGATCTCCGAAAGTTCCTCTGAGACAGGACCGCGTCGTGCTAGCAGCAGGGCGGGCGTTCTTCGTTGTTTTCTCGGTCTCCCGGGGGCCCTCGCCAGGCCGCGAGGCAGTCAACCACCGACTCCGGATGAAAAGCGGGCCCTGGGGAAAGGGTAATTTGGAAGGCTTCTTGGCCGGTACCGCCGACCCTGAAGGGGGACGACGACGACGGCGGCGACGACGGCGACGGCGGCGGCGGCGGCGGCGGCGGTGGCGACGACGCTGACGACGACGCTGACGCTCTGGAGCCCCTCTTTGAGCTCTTTCGGGAGCATATAGGTTTTTATGTTCGGGCCGGGGCAGGGGCAGGGGCCGAGGCCGGGCCCCGGGGGGGGCGGGTGTGTGATTACAGTGGCGTCCTGCCCTGGTTTTCAGACTCCCCCCATGCCCGGCAGTAGGCATTTTGGATCAGGGTGGCGCTTACCGCGCCCCAGGCCCAGCAGCTTAGCATAGCGTCTGACTGCTGCTCTCCAGTAGTTCTGGAGAGACCCGAGTCCAGTGGAGAAACATTCACATCTCGTTTGATCTCGTTGAATCAATTCTCAGACCGTTTTTGATACATGTTCCGCGTGCGGATCATGTATTAAACATGCCGGGATTTGGTATTAAAAACAACGATGAGTTCATGCATCAATTCATTCAAAAATTAGTCATGTATTATTATTAAATCCTATATGTTTAAAATCCCATGTAATAAAGACTGCCCTGTATGGACTTCCGGAACGGCGCATCGGAAGACAAAGGAGACACCGCAGGCATGGACGTCCACGGCCACCGCCCAGGGAAGCGATCATCCGGGGCCTCGGGAGGCGTTGGGTGTGTTCGTCTTCGGGCCTCCTGCGAACCCGACGTTTCCATCTCTCTCGCCCCCTTGGGAGCCGGGATGCGTGTTCCCCAGGCGATGGATATGCATGAATCCGCGCCTCGCAGTCGCCGCCACCGCTGCCGTCGTTGTCGTCGTCGTCGTCAGTTTCGTCAGCGTCGATCTTCGTCGTCGTCGTCGGCGTCGTCGTCGTCGTCGTCCTCGTCCCCGTCCTCGTCCTCGCCCTCGTCGTCGTCGTCGTCGTCGTCAACCTTGTCTGCGTCAGCAGCCTCGTCACTCCTTCTTCTCCCCATAACCGCGCGCTCCCGCGCTCTGGGGGCGCACGGGGGGGCAGGCGTCAGCAGGACATCTGGGTATCCGGATGGCTCGGATGGCTAGATGTGTTCGGGGGTCTTGGGGGGGATGAAGCGCTTGCGGAGTTCTCTGGTGAGTTTTCGGAGGGTGCCAGTTGCCTTCGGAAAGGCGTTGATGCTTCGCGAGGTTCCAGGTGGTGCGTTTCGGGAAGGGAGGGGATGAGGAGGGGGAGCAGGATCTTGAGGAGGCGGAGGAGAAATGACATGAGGGGAGTACGACGGGGGGGAGGATAATCAGGACGATCAATGAGTGTGTGGGGAGGTGGAGACGACGGAAAGTATAGGAAGAGGACTTGTGTTGGAGGCTGGGGGGGGGGGGAAGGGGAATGAGGATGGGGGAGGCGGAGAGCGGGGAGGAACATGTGCAGGGGGCAGAATGGAGAAGGAGGAGGAGGAGGAGGAGGAGGAGGAGGAGGAGGAGGAGGAGAGGAGGGGAGTGGAGGAGGACGGGGAGGAGGAGCAGTTGAGCAGAAAGAAGGGGAAGGGAGGAGGAGGAGGAAGGGAAGGAGGATAAGAGAGAGGAATGCGAAACGATGGGGGATGGGGGAGTAATAATCTGGGGGAATGGGAGGAACACGAGACGGAGGAGGGTGAAGGAGGGAAGGAGTAGACGGATCGGTCCTAGAGTGAGGAGGAGTAAGAGAGAGGGGGGCGGAGGAGGGGAAGGAGGAGATCCGACGGAGGTGCCTTGGAGGAGAGGGCGGGGGAGGGACACTGATGAGGGCCGCGCAGGGCCGACGGAGGACGGTGAGGCGAGGGCGGGCGGCGTCAATTCCTTCCCGCGTGCAGGTGCGGCTGCGGCATGCTAATCTACAGTTCGATGCAGGCGCGACGTCGATGCTCCCGCTCCTCCTCGCCACGGCGGCGGCGGCGGCGGCCTCCGCTCGTGGCGCCCACCGCGGCGCGAGGAGGGCGCGTGCCAAGACGGCAGGTGCATGCCAGTCAGCTGGGCCACTGAGCAGGCCGCCGCCGCGACCCCCTCCTGCCTTCGCCGTCGTCGTCGTCGTCGCCGTCCTCGTCGTCGTCGTCGTCCTCGCCCCCATCCTCGTCCCCGCCCTCGTCCTGGAGCTCGGCGGCGCCTGCGCGTCCTCGCCGTCGGGCCCCTCCTCCTTCCCCTCTCCGCTGGAGACCTCCTGGTGGGATGCTGAGGCCTCCTCCCATGCATGATTGTCGAATCCTCAATCCTCCCGTCGTCTTCCACCTCTACTGGAAGAACGAACAACAGCATACAGACATCGACATGTATGCGTGGTCCTGCAGAAAGCCATGCTCATGTCGCTGTCTGTTCCTCTGTCTTCGTTCTTCCCTTTTCGTTATCCTCGCTGCTATCATCCTTGCCGTTCCGCCTCTCTCTGCTCCTCCTCCTCCTTCTTCTCCTCGTCCTCCCCCTTCTTTCTGTAGCCATTTGGCTCAAGTCATTCTGGCGCAAGCCATTTGGTTCAAGGCGCCTTGTGGCCAGGCGCTAAGGGCGGGTGGCGGCCGCGCCCCACGGCCCTTGGCGGCCGTTTCTCCCTTCTCCAGTTCCCATCTCCCCTTCTCGCCATGGAGGCGATAGCCAAACCATTGGACAGGTAAATCCCAAATACCCACCAGTCCAGTTGAGAGCGAGGGGAGCGAGGGCCGCTCCGACATCCCGCCTTCCCCAGGCAATCACGATCACGACCGAGTCGGACGTGATTGCCGCTCTTAAAGAGCTCATTCAGCATTCTCGTGCAGCGTGGATTCGTTCAACCAGCAATTGGATCGAGGCATCACGGAGATTAACCAGCAGACTTCGTGAATCCGCAGCCAGATGTTGCAGGCTGAGAAGAGATGTCCCAGTATGCAGGCAGCTTCTGCAGATATCGCGAAACAGACTATGTATACTTTCGCACACACTCGTGCTATCCAGGAACAGGCTCTCGAGCAGGCCGTTCAGGATCGTGATATGGCTGAGAAGGAGATGGGGAAGGAAGTGATGGGGTCATTGGTACGGCGAAGGAGGCGCTAGCGGCGTTGAGGGAGGCGCAGGTCGGAGGCCCAGGCACCACCACGGTGAGAACGGTAACTCCTGATGATGGTGAACTTATATATATATATATATATATATATATATATATACATATATATATATATAGTGCGGCAAATTCGTGCCGCATTGAGCCCGGTGACGTTCGGAGCCTTTCTTGTCCTGTGGTCCTGGGAGCCTTTCTTCGCCGGGCTGTGGCCTCGATATCGTGAACAAATGTGCGCTGGTCAGTGACATCCCGCGTGCCCAGATTAGGGCTTCCAGCTGCACTGAGAAGGTCTACGTCGATTTCCCAAGCACTATGACGGCTTCCACATTCCACGCGAGGTGCGTGTCTGAGGGGCCCTCTATCTTTCCGGATCCTGGGGTCGGGGCGTGCCGCGAGCTCCGCGCGCGCCGCGACCTACCCCAGTCGTCTCGCCAGTCGTTCTATTACACCGAGAATCGGAGGTAAGCAGTGGCACGCAGAGATCTTCGGGCAAGAGCGGCGCGCCGGCTCCACGGGGCTGTAGGAGGGGGGGGCGGGGGGCCGGCTTATGCGACCAATCGAGCCATCTCTGTTCCTTTCTTCTTGGCCCTTGGGCTGGCAGTTCGGACGCGATGGTGGACGACGCAGGCTTGGCCGGGATCGAGGGGGCAGCGCGCGCGCCTTGCTTGCGCGCCCGCTTCTCGCAGATCCGCCCTAGCCGGCGAGTGCAATAGCTGCCTTGAAGGAAGGGGGCTCAACGGGAGTAGTTACGCGGCGCCGGCACCTGTGAGTTCAATTGGACCCCACATCTCCTAAGAATCCGGATAGTTGTCATTCAGTTGATACAGCATCGCAAGTTTCGCCCCTTTTGGCTGGGCTTGCTGGCGGAGTCTTTCGCCCTTCTACCCCGCTCGCGCTCTGCGCGCGGAACGCTCGCGCCCCCCTTAGTTTCATCTCGCCCCCGTCTCCCAGAGCGAGCTCGAGACTTCAGCGGGCAGAGAAGCTGCGCGAGGGGCATTAGATTTCATTCGCCCAGGAAGCCAGCGGCGCCAGGGCCGACTCGGCCATGTTAGCTGACGAGATACGCTCGGGTGCAGTATGGCAGTTTCATGGAGGACAGGGCCGCTGGAGGGATTGTCGCGTTTGTCCATGGGGATCCAGTCGTTCTGTTCCCGAGTGCGCTTCCGATTGAGGTGGGAAAAAAGGGGGCCTCGAACTGCGTGGCTCGGGGCCGGCGGTTGGCCTCGCGATTGTGCATGTGCGCATCCCCGACGCATGTGATCGCGTTCGCGTGGGTACGCGGTATATGCAGAGTCTGGACGTTCCACCCCCTGGCACTGGCAGCAGGAGACGGGGCGGCCGTCCCGATCGATGCGCGGTGACCGGGGGGGGTGGCCCCGCGGAGGGTGAGTTCGGCCCATGGGGATCGATTGCAGCGCGGCGCCTTCCGCGAACACTGCCGCCCCCCCGTGGAACTGTTCTGCCTGACTCCACGCGCAGGGGCGCAATCGGCTTGACAGAGTCTACGCCGCCTGACCGGCGGTCATCGTCGATGGACTGTCTTGCATCGGCCAGCGCTGCGGGGGCCCTGGCCCGCGAGGTGGCGCCGGACCGTGCCCCTGTAGCAGTGGCGATCGCCTGCCCCGGGCCCCGAGGTCCCTTCGCTGCGCCGAAATGAATTTGTCAGCGCGTCGGGGTCAGGGGGATGATTTCGGAACAGCTCAGGCGGCCATCCCTCCCAGATGACCTTTCGGAGCGCATGCGGAGAATGATTGCCTGATTCGTTATCGCAGCGGTTGAATTTCGGCAGTCTCTGAAGAGTCGACGAGCATCGACGAATGAGCGCCCTTTGCGGTCGCTCGGAGGGGGGGTGGAACCGGCGCCCCCACCCCCTGGATGGAGGGGGGGGGTTCGAACCCCCCCCCTTCCCTGGCGGAGGGGGGAAGGTTCACTCCCCCCCCATCCCCTAGTGCCCCTCTCTCCCTCGCCTCGGGCCGTCGCCTGCGTCGGCGGCGGCCGGCGGCGGCGGCGGCGACGATTTCTTTTTCCTGGCCGGCGCCAGCGCCTGCGGCGGCGGGCGGTGGCGGCGGGGGGCGTCGACGAGGACGACGGTGGTGGCGGTGGGTTGTGGCGGTGGTGGTTGTGGTGGTGGCGATGGCGGTGGTGGCGGTTGTGGTGGTGGTGGTTTGTTGTGGTGTTTGTGGTGGATGGTGGTGGTGGTGGTGGTGGTGGCGTGGCGGTGGTTTGGTGGTGGGGTGGTGGTGGTCTGTGGTGGTGGTGGGTCGTGGTGGCGGTGGTGGTGGTTTGGTGGTGGCGTGGTGGTTTGTGGTGGTGGTGGTGGGTTGTGGTGGTGGCGGTGGTTTGGAGGTGGTGCTGGCGGTGGTGGTGGTGGTGGCGGTGTGGTTGTTTGTGTTGGTGGTGTTGGGTTTTGCTGCTGGTAGTGGTGGTGGTTGCGGCGCTGGTGGTGGTGTGGTAGATAGTGGCGGTTGAGGTAGTGGTGGTGGGTTTTGGTGGTGGTGATGGTGAGTTGTGGTGGTGGTGGTGGTTGTGGTGGCGGCGGTGGCTGCGGTGGTGGCGGTGGTTGTGCGTTGGGTTGGTGGTGGTGGTGGTGGGTTGAGACGGTGGCGGCGGCAGTGGCGGCGGCGGCAGCGGTGGCAATCGTCGCCGCGCCCCCGCCGTCGCCGGCGCCAGGGGGGGGCTTCGAACGCCCCCGCCCCCCCTGGGCTGCCTCTGGTCATCGTCGCTGCGTACCCGCCGTCGGCGCCGAGAATGGGGGGGGAGTTCGGGGGGGGGGGGGATTTGGTGGGGAGGGGGGCCCCCTGGTTCTGATCGACGGCGCCGAGCGTTGAGGGGGGGGCCCACTTCCCGGTTCGAAACGCGCCGCCGAATTTTCCCGAGGCGAGCACCCGTGAAACGCGCTCTTGCGCATCGACTGACGCCGAGCGCGCCCGCGTCGCATTCGTGGCAGAGGGCGGCGGCATCTGCGCGGACCCCGACGGCCTGTGCCCCCCGCTCGGCGATTTGACGAACGGACGGCTCGAAGGGAAAGCATGGGGAAATTTGGCAAAGCTGGGGGGGTCAAGGAGGTTGAGAGCGATTTGGAGAAACGTTCGAGTGGCTCACACAGGCGGGCGGGATCAAATGAGACGTCGGATTGATCCGCAAACGGGGGGCGGGGGGGCTGGTCAAGAATTCCTCGCTGCGCCCGAACCTCGACGACGCGGCCCGCGCGCTGGCCCCCCATTGGGAAGGTGTTTTTGCTTGCTCCCCACGAGATGGACAGCGCTGGCCCGCGATCCCATCCCGCGCGCAGTCGGCTGGCCAACTTCCGCGCGGTGGCCCTGGCGAAATTGAAAAAGCGCATTCAGTTCGAGCGACGCACTGCCTGTGGGCCCGATGTCATGCCGCGTGGATGTCGGGCGCTTCCTGAGGCTGCTGATGTTTTGTCGGATGTTCATGGGGCAGTTTGCGATAGCGAAGGCGCCGCGCTCTCAGCGGGCTGTCGGATAAGCAGAATGGCCTTCCCACCGAAGGAGGAAGAGCCCGCCAATCAGGGCGCTTTTGCTTTTGGGCTGCCTGGTCCGACCTGCCCACCTTTTCGCTCCAGCGCGGGCGCCATGATCTTGTCGGGCGCGTTCCGCACCGGGCTGAATGAAGTTGCGCCGCAGACGGTCATGGAGCGGCAGCGAGCGGGCGTGAAAGTCCGCGATGTCATGGATAACGTGGCTGAGGTGGAGCAGCTTTCCCCCCCCCCCCCCAGTTTATGCGTAGGTTTGATGACGCTGGTGTCTTATGTCTGGGTTTTCGGGCGGCGTTCCCTTCGATTCTCTCGGCGTGGTGCTTCTGAAGGCCGAGGGCGCTCCGCGGGCCACCATCGAGATTATGTTCCTGCATCGGAGTGACATTGCGGTGGTCAATTTCGCTGGGGCCACTGAGATTAGGCCCCCAGTCGCGTGGGAAGTAAGCCAGGGAGACCCTTCGTCGAT